GTTGGGGGGCCCGCAGCGCTGCGGCGGCGGGAGCGTCCCGTGGCCCCGCAGGGTTGGCGCCACAGCATTTCGCCCTAGAAAACGGGCCGTGATGGGCGTGAGAGACGGGGGAGGACCTCCGCTAGCCATGGCTGTTGTAGGAGACATTCAGGGCCCAGTAACTTCGCGACGCCGAACTAGTTTCAGGAACAGGCATGTAGGATGGTGTCGCCTGGCTGAGCCGTCTTCGTTTTTGGTGGGAAACGTGACTTTTTTACCCTATCGACTGGAGTCTTTATGACGATGATGATGGCGATGGAGGTTTCAGCCCTGGTGAACCGAGCATGCAAGGAGGAAGTTTCCAGAGTTCAGCGGAAAGCTAGTTTTTTTAGACAATTCATTATAAGAAGTGTCCGCTGTCCTGGGACTCGCCGTGCGGTCCCTGCGCTCCCACGGGCTTCGTATTTGCCCCCCTGAAGCTTCAGTTTTCAAAGTGTTAACGCAGATCTAAATTCAAGACGCTGTACCTAAAAGCAGCTTCAAAAACAGAGCTGTCCGCGGTGGGAAAGGAAGAATCTGATTTCATTTGTTGCCTTGGTTTTCTCTTCGGTTGCAGTATACTTAGAACATTTCTTGCTATTTTTTTCCCCCTTTCCTGACTCATCGCAGATCTCTGGGGGGTAGGTTGATAAGCCAGCTTGTAAGTTTCCTTGAGCACTTGGGTGCTTAAGTTAGAGCAGTGGTTTTCACCCTGAAGCAAGCGGTACCTGACTCAGTCAGGGGCAGTGACCTCCCTGAGATTGTCAAGTAAAAGAAACGACAACAGCCAGCGCAAGGAGGGCTGTCCGGTGTGAGTGAATCATAAAATCACCTATTTTTTTGTCAAATCGGCAAAAAATATATTTTTTGGTGTGCTGCAGAATTTTAGTAATTAGTTTATGTGTGCCCCGAGATGAGAAAGGTCAAAAAGAGTTGAGTTAAAGCATAAAAAAGTAGTACTGGGTACTCAGAATCTGTGATATTAAGGAGATGATAAGGAGCCAATTAAAAAGACCGTACATTTTGTGAAATTTACTTATGTGATAGAAAGTGAAAAATGATTTTTGTTTATAGAATTACAGCAATTAAGTATCTTATATGAAACATAATGAATTGCAGTTTATTTAAAATAGTTTCATTCAACACATTTTAAAGTTCCATAAATATTTGGACCCATAGTGTGGTAGGTGCTGGGATATAGTGGTCAACAGTGAGTAATTACATTTCATTTATTATAGTAACGCTAGCAGTGGTACTTATAGCAAGCATGTCTGTGCGCCACGCATTCTGAGTGTTTTACATTTATTTAGTACTCAGTACTTTTTTTTCCCCCCAAAACACACATTATCTTACATGCACTGTATTAAAGTTAGACTCATTTTACTTGGATCCACATGTTCTCCGTGTCTTTTCTTTGCTTATTCACACTCACTCAGGTCTTTTTCATTGTCCGACTTTTTCTCTATATAAATACTATTTAGGATTCTCATCTTCCAGAAAATGTCTTCCTTGATGTTAGGGTCAGGGTGTTTATGCTTCCTGAACAAATGTCAGAGCAAAGGAAGAATTGACAACCTCGAGTAGAGCAGTATTAACACTTCCTTGGAAATTGCTGTGTATATTCTGGATGGACGTTTGCTGGCTTCTTTGCAAGCCTCTCCTATCCCGTGACCAGAAATAGGTTATTTTTGTGGCTGTGTTATCATTTTCACTTAGTTTGATATTTTTCTTTGCAGTGCTAAATATGGAAACAGTGAAAGGAAACTTGAATTCTATCCTAGAGCTTTGCTATCAGAATTAATAATCTGGTTTGTCCACTGCGTTGGCCTTTGTTACTTATCTAGAGATTCTTGGCGTTGTTTATCAATTAAGTTAGGAAATCAATATAAAGAAAACAGGGCGAGCACAGCAGGCTGTGGCTCAGCAGTTGAGCATGGACCTAGGATCTAGGATATAGAGGTTCAATTCCGGGTCAGGGCACTTGCCCAGGTTGCAGGCTCAATCCCCAGTCGGAGGCGTGCAGGAGGCAGCCAATCAATGACAACTGTCTCATCATTGATGTTTCTGTCTCTCTCCCCCTTTTTCTTTCTGAAATCAATAAAGATATTTTTTTTTTTTAAAAAGGTGAAATTTGTATCTGGTCAGATTTGTTACTTGGTGGTAGTCAAAAACTTAGTTTTAGGGACAAGGTTGAAGACATTGGGTAAAATAAATACTGTATTTCTCAGGTTGTACTTTTTGCTCCCTCAATTGAATGCCACTGAAATTGTCATGTCCTAAAATCAGTGCATGCATTTAATATGGTAATGTTTTTTTCCCCTTGAAAAACTTATTAAGTAATATCTTTAAATGTATTGCATTTTAGAATTAAGAAAATAAAGTATTATAGATCCTTTATAGTGTATTTATTTGTATGGTCTTTATCATTACTAATAAATTCTTGAAAGATGACTGTTAAGATTTGTATGCTTCATAAATTTTTTTGGAAACTGCAAAATTTTTGTACAAATTGTACTTTTATAAATAAAACTCCATTTTTGTGCACAGAGAATACTTTATTAAAGTCCCTGTAAAGTGATTTATTTTACAAAGAATTTTTTTTAAAAAGGAATATAATAGCTTTTTGTAAAGAACTCTCTTTTATGTGAACACCCCCTTTCCAGTTTATCTTTATCTTAAATGTGTGCTTTTAGACACTGTCTAATAAAAACACCTACCTAACCCTTGGTCACATACATTTGTTAACTACCTCAATATATTTGTTAACTTGATTTCTGAAATTATCCAATTAAAATTTTTTTTAATCCAATACTATTAATGTGTTTAACATGCATGTGTAACTACTAAGTAAACTTCTTGTGTTTTTTTTTCTTGTATGCTTTTAAAATAAAATTTAAAATAATAACTTGCATCTGAAGACTTTATTTGGCTTTACAAAAATCTTTATTCTTGTTGGCCACTTCTAACTTTTGCTTTAACCCGTAGAAGGGGAAAATTAAAGGGCATCATGAAGAAAGAATATAATATTTATTTGTTGACCCAGATTTATATGCACAAAAAACTCAAAATTCACAGTATGGCTTTTCTAATAATGTCATTTTCTAATGTAGTCAATGGCTTCACGACTTAATGTGACGATACGTTAATGATAGTATAGAAATGGTTAAAAATTAGGCTAGTCAAACTGAATCCACAAAATATACAGGGGGGTTTTCTCACTGTGCCAGTGTTTAAAGATATTTTAGCAAACATGAATTTAACACTATTTTAAAGTACATTTATTTTATTCATTTTCTACAGTAAAAGTAGAGAACAATCCATCTAATCAGCAACAGTAGCTGATTCATTTCTCCTTTTTTGACTCTTCTCTTTAGGTGTCACTAAAAAAAGAAAAAGCACCTCTGCTCTATAAGGAGGAGATGAATTCTTACACCACCTGATAAACTTGACACACTAACTACACAAGGGCAAAGCTTACCCCTTAAGATGGTTCTAAGGAGGAAAAGTAATTACATTGAATATAGTAAATTCCTGTTTAATTTGGAATTTAGTTTACTGGTTTGAAGGAATTTTCTGTATTCTTTTTTTTTTATTGGATATATAAAGGGTAGGTAATATTGGGAAATTTTCTGAGATTTCCCAAATATAGGGATATTTATAAGCTCAGCCTATTTTCTGATACGTAAATCTATAATACTGTTGAATGATAATGATACCACAGAAATGTGAAATTCTGCAGAACTTTCAGGATTATTTAAAAAATGAAGTATAACCTTGGCCGAGTGGCTCAATTGATGAAAAATAAGTAAAAAATGAAGTATAGTTTTATGATCAATGTATTTTAGAGTCATTGATCAGCTGCCTCCTGCACGCCCCCTATTGGGGCTCCCTGACCAGGAATTACACCGTGACCTCCAGGTTCATGGGTGGATGCTCAATGGCTGAGCTACACCAGCCAGGCTATATTATCTTATTGTTTGTAGTAAGGACAGTTTTGTGGCGAGTGCTAAATAATTATGAAAAAAGTAATCCTTGGTACTAACAGGTCTATGTGACTTTTACCTTAATATGATAAAAGTTAATTGGGATACAGACAGAATAATTTGATACACGTTGCAATAACTTTTCAAATATTTTAAGGACCAGCTACAGAACTGCGCCAAAGAAAAAAGCCAAAGTCTTCAGAAAATAAAGAATCTGCCAAAGAAGAGAAAATCGAAGACACTCCAGTTCCTGAAAGAGCTCCAAAACGTAAGTTAGATAGGTTTGGAGTTTTTGTGCCACTGCAAAAATACAGTTATACTAGGTAGTATATTTTACATTAATATTTTAAATGTAGAAACATATTTTGTGACTAAGATGTGTTGATACCAGTCAGCATTCATTAGGTTTTACTATAGAACAACCTCTAAAGCTCACTCATTTACAACACACATTTATTTCTGATCAATACTACATGCTACGGCTGCAGGTTGGCTGACGTGGCTTTACGTTTCATGAAGGAACAGCTCCTACATGGAATGTGTGTTTCTTGTGGCTAGGGAAGAGAGCAGGAGAGCAGGCAGAGTCGTGTAGTGCCTCTTAAAGTTTCTGCTGAGTTGGCACACCGGCACTTGTCTTCATGTCCCATTGGCCCAAGGCAGTTGTATGATGAGTCCAGGAAATGGAATGAAGCATAGCTGCCTGCAGGGAAGCATCTCAGATCACCTGGCAGAGGGCAGGATGAGTGATCTTTTTACAGGAGAAGGCAGAATGATTTGGAATATCAGTCTACCGTATTCCGTCTTACTGATCATAAGTATTTTCTTGTTCAGACAAAATATATTTGCCACCTACCCCAAGAAAGCCACTCAGTCTTTTCCAGTCATAGCTTCAGTCTTGAAGCCTGAGGTCGTCTTATTTATCTACCTCAGGATCTGCTGTGACTCATTCTCATCCAAAGACCCATAAACTAAAAAGACAGGTCATCTCCTTTGTGTCAGGGTCCCCAAGACCCACCCCCATGTTCTGAGGTTAGCTGGAAGGACTCACAGGGGTCAGAATAGACATCGATAGCTATGATTTATTACAGTAAACAATACAAAACAAAATCGGCAAAGAGAAAAGGCTTATGGGCTGAAGTCTGCAAGGAACTAAGCTCAAGCTTCCAAGATTCTTCTCCATATTTCACTCAGATTTCTCTGGTTTTTACCCAATGCCCCCTTTCTGTTCCAGGATCCCATCCAGGATACATTGCATTTAGTTGTCATGTCTCCTGAGACTCCTCTTGGCTGTGACAGCTTCTCAGGCTCCCCTTGTTTTTGAGGACGTTGACAGCTTTGAGGAGTACTGGCCCAGGTGTATTGTAGGGTGCTCCTCTGTTGGAATTTATTTGCTATTTTCTCAGGATGAGACTGGGGCAATGGGTTTTGGGGAGGAAGACCACAGAGTTAGAAGGCCATTTTCATCTCGTCATATCAAGGGTACATACTAACTTTTGATTACTTTTTCTTAATAGAAGTTCATAAATACAAATATCATCTACATCTGATTACCTTTAATATGCTTTTTCAGATGTATTATTTCAGCGCTTTGCAAAGATTTTCATTGGCTGTCTTGCAGCGGTCACTAGTGGTATGATGTATGCTCTCTATTTGTCAGCATTCCATGAACGGAAATTCTGGTTTTCCAACAGGCAGGTAAGAAGAGAGTTGAGCATATGAGAGTTGTTTTAAAATTTAAGATTAAGTAATATGCTTTTCCAGGGAGCCAAAGTAGTGTGATAAGTATGACAAGTGTTTTCTTATTTACAGCCATTAAATACAAAATGGTGTAAAAGCTGTTTTTAGAACACTCATAGTATCAACCTTGAAAATTGTAATGTGATGTATTTTAAGGCCATAGAATAACAACTATGAGGATGCTTTCCTTCGTGCAGTTAGTTTGCCAGGTACTTATGGTGACAGTGAAATGGAAAGGAGTTTAGTCAGTATTTTAGTTTTCAGAAACAATCTCTAAATTTCAGCATCAAAATATATTTTTAGATTACACCATTAAAATGTTTTTTGGGGGGGAAATGATTAGCAAGCATAACAGTATTTACTAAGATGTTGCCCCATATTAGTATGTTTCATGTTTGGTTTTAAATCATGTATATTTCCACAGACTCTATAGTCACTGTGATTCATAATTCACTTGGCCTTTCATAAGTTTGATTTCAACTTACCTTCATAATCAGATATATCTGTAGTATGTGTTGACAAAGTTCATGGCGTTACCACCTGACTCTAAAGGGTTTTGCTTTTTTGTTTTAGCCCAAACTGTTTTGTTATTTTTTAAAGATTTTTAATTGTTTTTCAGAGAGAGGAAGGGAGAGGGAGAGAGAGATAGAAACATCTACATGAGAGGGAAACATTGATCAGCTGCCTCCTGCGCGCCCCCTAACAGGGATCTAGCCCACAACCTGGGCATGTGCCCTGACCCGGAATCAAACTGGCAGCCTTCTCAGTGCAGGGGGTGATGCCCAACCAACTGAGCCTCACAGGCCAGAGCTGTTCTTATTTTTGAGCAAGTAGCCAAGCTAACTAAATGTTTTTAAGCTATTGATTTACCTAGTATCACCAAAACATTTAACTGAAAAGTTACCTATATTGGTTTGACAAAAGCTATTACTATAGCATATACTATTGCCTTAAAAGTGTTTTACAGATTAATGATCAGTAGCTCTCAGTACTGGATGTACAATACAGTCATCTGGGAGCTTTCAAAAAAATTAATCCCGTCACAGATTTGTAGGTGGAGGTATTGTCTGAGATCAGTATTGAACAAAGTATTTCCAAGGGATTCCTTGTGTAGGCCGCATTGAGAACAACCAGAGGTGTGAAAATACAGAGGGAGACCCAACTCACTCCTGAGTTAGCCCACCTCTACTCGGACACGTAGTTTTCGATTCTTTCACCCCCTCATTGGAGCCCTGGCCTCTCTCTTTTTTTCTTGCTTTATTTTCCAAGCCCTCTCTTTCTCCTGCTCCCCCAAAACCAAAAGTCAATAAAAACATGTGTAAAAAAAAAGGTTTACTTCTATTTCTGGAAGGTTATTTGAAAAGCACTGATTAAGTATCTGCTTCTCTTGAAAAGTACTAATTAATGGCTTGCTGTTCTGGATACATAGGGAAGTGGCATAACAATGGAAAATACTACTTTCTTCTTAAACTTATCTTTTATTATGGACTTCTAACACCCTATCCATTATTTTTTGTTATTTCCTTTATTAGTCTTGCTGTCCTTAGGGCATTTCTTTGGGTTTTAAGTCTAGATTTTTCTTATATATAATATAAATAACTTAATGAGTTACAATCCATTTTAAACCTTAGATGTTTTATTTAAATGATTGCCAGATTATTAAAAAGTTTAACCTTATTACTATGGCCATTGGTAAATAAAAGGAAAATTCAAACATCTTTGAATAAAAGGATAAATAAAAAGCATTAGTTTAGAAGATGAGAGAAGGTAGAGATAGTTGAAATTTAGGACACCTGTATTTAAATAATTGTTATATTTTCTTTTAGGAGCTTGAACGGGAAATCACATTCCAGGGTGACAGTGCTATTTATTACTCTTATTATAAAGATATGGTAAAAGCACCTTCTTTTGAAAGAGGTATGATAACTACATTTGTATTTTTAATAATAATATTTTTCTAAAATAAACCATCGTTGCCAAGCCAGAGTGGCTTAGTTGGTTGAGCCCCGTCTTGTGCACCGAAGGGTTGCCCGTTCCATTCCCTGTCAGGGCACATACCTGGGTTTCGGGTTTGATCCCCAGTCAGGGAGCGTGTGGAAGGCAACCGCTTGGTGGTCTCTCTCACATCAGTGTCTCTCTCCCTCTCCCCCTTCCTCTCTCTAAGCATGTCCTCGAGTGAGAATTTAAATAAATAATAAATAAAATAAAATAAAATAAAATAAAACAAAACATTGCTCTTCTATGTGGGAGCCTCTGAATGTGGAGATTTGTCTTAGGATATAGGTATTGCTCTTTCTTGTACTTAATAAAATAATTGAAAAAATGAGGTACAGAGTATTATTTTGAGATTTTTCTTGACAATAATTTAAAATATTTAATGACTTCTGAATGCCATGTTTAGTTATTGTAAAAGCAGAATAAATAACATAGAGAAAAATTTTCTTGTCTTTAGGTGTTTACGAACTGACACATAATAACAAAACTGTATCTCTGAAGACTATAAATGCAGTGCAACAAATGTCTCTATATCCAGAACTTATAGCCAGTGTTTTATATCAAGCAACTGGTAGCAGTGTATGTATTTTTCTTTTTATTACAATATTTATTATCTCATGTACTTATGAATCCTTAAAATTACTTGATGTAATTCTATTATCTCTTCTATTTTTTTCATCTAGGAGATTATTGAGCCAGTATATTTCTATATTGGTATTGTTTTTGGATTGCAAGGAATATATGTTACTGCTTTATTTGCTACAAGTTGGCTTATGAGTGGAACCTGGCTAGCAGGAATGCTTACTGTTGCATGGTTCGTTATTAACAGGTAAGAAAGATGTTTTAATTTTTACAGCTTTTTGTGTCTGGGGTAGTCCTAAAAATGCTCTCCCCTGACCCCCATATTCTATATGGTACTGTTGACCTTAAGGTAGGAAGATTACCCAGTGGGCCTGATCAAATGGTATGAGCCCCTAAAAGTAGAGAGCTTTTTCCGACTGGTGCAGAAGGGAAAGCCGCCAGAGATAGTTTAAAGCATGAGAAGGGTTTGCTGTTCTCTTGCTGGGTTGAAGTGAGGAGGAAATGATTTCTCCCAGTAACAGTTGAGCTCATAAGGAGACTATAAATACAGATGAGAACTGCAGCCCTAGCTGGTGCTTTGATTTTAGCTTAGGGAGCCTCTGAGCAGAGAACTCAGACAAACTGCTGGATTTGTGACCTAGTAAATATGTGCTAGGTTTTTTGTGTGTGTGTTTTTTTAAGATTTTGATTTTTAGAGATAAAGGAAGGGAGAGGGAGAGAGAGAAACATTGATGTGAGAGTAGAACATCCATTGACTGCCTCCTGCATGCCCCCTACTGGGGATCAAGCCCCACAACCCAGGCACATGTTCTGACTGGGAATTGAACAAGCAGCCTTTTGGTGCACAAGATGACGCTCATCTGACCCACACCGGCCAGGGCAGCATAATTATTTTAAGATTCATGTATCTTGGGTGCATTAATAGTTCATTCCTTTTTATTGCTAAGGAGTATCCTATTGCAGTGATTTTCAGCTGGTGTGCTGCGAGAATTTTTAAAACATATGATACCTGACTGCTTAGTCAGGGGCACTGTGACCTCTTTTTCCTTAGATTGACAAATGAAAGAGTGACAACAGCCAACCACAATAGCCGTCCAGTTGGAATGAATCAAAATTACACCTATTTTTTGTCAGATTGGCAAAAATAATATATTTTTTGGTGTGCTGCAGAATTTTAGTAATTAGCTTATGTACCATAAGATGAAGAAAGTTGAACATGGTGTCCTATTGTATGGCTGTACCAAATTTGATTGAACTAAGTTACATGTGAGCATATCCGTCTTAGTTACTTATGAGAGTTATGCAGCAATTTACATAAAGTTTTTAAAGCAATAGCGCCTTTTTTGTGTGTGTGGAAAATAACCATCAAGAGTACAAAATCCAAAGTTAATGATTGTTGGAAAGGTAGTTTCATGTGGTGTGTGGATATGCAGAGGAGAAAACAGGCTCTCAATGAAAACTAGAAAAGATTGAAAAGATTATTAAACTAGATACCAGAAGATATGCATTGTAAGTCTGCTTGTGCCATGTGCTAGCCTCATGACTGGATTAAGTCCCTTTACCTCTCTGTACTTCATATTCCTTAGGTAAGGGGTAAGAGCTTTGGGTCTGCCAGGCCTGCTAGTTATGAGTAGTGTACAGTGTGCTCTGGAGAAGGCTAGCCCTGGTGCTGGGGGGGGGCTGAAACCCAGGGTACTCTGCAGCGCTCTGTGTGCTGCAGGGGGAGGCTGTATCTGTCGGAGCAGGGGTGGCTTTTTCAGACTCGCAGAGGCCCACCTATTCATCAAGCAGCGCACAGCAGCACCAAGTCTTCCTGGGGCTTCAGGTGAGACTGGATTAGTTTGCTACAAGGTGCTTCACAGGCAGTGGTTGGCTCTGCCTATGCCTACGTCACAGGATTGTTACATTGAAAAGTATAGTGTCACACAAATACAGTGTCTTGCTATTTTGCTCTTTATCTGTGGTTTATTTTAGGGTAGATACAACAAGAATTGAGTACTCTATTCCTTTAAGAGAAAACTGGGCACTACCATATTTTGCATGCCAAGTTGCTGCACTTACTGGCTATTTAAAAAGCAACTTAAATACTTATGGAGAGGTAAGACACAATTTTTTTTTTTCCAGTCACAAATTGTGATTTATTTTCGTTAATTATATGAATAATTTTGGGGGGCTAAAATACAAATTTATTTCTCACAATTCTGACGTATTACAAATCTGGTCCATAATTTTAAAGCTAATACTGAGTTAAATTCAATGAAGCCTGTTACTTACATAATAAAGGACATAGGTAGTCTTGTTGTAAATAACACTGTTATTCTGCATTCTGATTGACAATAAGTTATTCTTAGGAAAATAGAGATGTTGTATTGTTTTAGTGCAGCTACTTGACAAATACATGAATAATATCTTATTTTGAAAGTTAATATCTCTCATTGTTCTTTTACCATTTATCTCACTTCTGGAACACTGATGACCTTTAGTCATCACGAGTTAAAGAAATATTAATGAAATATAAAGAGTGACTTCAGATAACAGCAATCTTAACTTTTATGATAGCACTGCACATTTTTCTGTTTACCTTTGTGTTTTCTGTGACTGAGGTGTAGGTAGGTGAGTGAGTTTCATGAGACTGTCCCAGATAATTTAGATTTTTTGTTTTTTTGTTGTTGCCATAAACCCTTTTGGCAGTCAGGTGAAGCTTACAGACTCTTTCCTAGAATAAGGACTTTAAATACACAAACTGAAATGTTGTAATCTTTTGACAGTCTGCCTGTCTTGGGTTAAGAATTCCTACCTAGGAAGAGATCATAGGGACCAAGGAAAGGCTTCCATTGAACCTGACTGGCTAGGAAATAAGATGCACTCATGGTTCCTTTTTGAAATCTCAGAAAAACGTAGTACTGTGTTCTCTCCTACTCTCGGTGATGACCGATGTTCTGAGCATAGGAAACCTTTAGTTTCATTTTTTATAACTATAGCATTTCCCTGGTTATGTAAAATAACACTAACACATTTCAGATTTGTGAGTTTCCTTTTGTTGTGTTTGTAGAAATAGCTTTCTGAGCAAGAGTATTTCCTTCAGTAGGCACGGAATCTGCCAGCCAGTGCTCACCCGTCGGATTGTGCAGCCTTCTGTGGAAGAGCAGGTCTTCAGTTTTTGAATAAAAGTTTATTATAGCAACATGAGCTGCCGAAGCTTCTTTTTTATATACCAGTATTTTGAAATAAAACAAAACTTTCGTTGCCTGAAACAGGTTTAATTATCTTTTGAACAAAATCATTTATTTTAAAAGAAGGAGTTTTGGAAAAGGTAGTGGAATGTATAGTTATTTTCCTCCTTCCATACCATATTTGATATTTTGCTATCTTTTTTCGTTGCTGTGTTATGTATTTATTCTTTATAATATTTTTTCATTCTAACCTAATTGTTTTTTTTAAATTTATTGATTTTAGAGAGAGAGGAAGGGGAACAGGTGGTGGGGGTAAACATCAATTTGTTCCACTTATTTATGCATTCATTGGTTGATTCTTGTATGTGCCCTGACTGGAAATCGAACCTGCAACCTTGGCATTTCTGGATGACGCTCCAACCAACTGAGCTACACTGGCCAGGGCAGTTACATGAATTTTTATCATGTGTATATTTGAGTAACCATCATCATAATCAAAATACAGAACTGTTTCATCACTACAAAGAAACCCCCTGTGTCCTCAGTAGTCACATATTTCCCTCGGTCCTAACCTCTGGCAACGACTGACCTGATCTCTGTCACTATAATTTTGTCATTTAGGAGGTTATATAAATGGAATTATATAGTATGGTATCCTTCAAGATTGGCTTTTTCTCCTCAACCTATTACTCTTACTATCCATCCAAGATGTTGCATGTTTCAGTAGCTTGCTCCTTTTCATTGCTGAGTAGTATTCCAGCAACATGTATCATATATTTCGCACTCTTGAGGCTAGATCTCATGGTCTCAGTTGCATCAGGATATCCATGCTCAGATTGTTTGATCCAGAGACGTCTGGTTGATTACTGAAACCCATTTAATGTGTCACTTAAGTTATATATGAAAAGGTTCCTAATAAAGGCATAGTTGAAAGGGAAGTGAGCAAGGTAAGGGGCAGTAGATAGGAGTGCACAGAATTTTGAAAATGTTCAGAAAAAGGAACAACTTAGCCAATTGTCCAGATTGTGTTTGCTCTGTATTTGTCTTATTTCCACTGCGTGTTCTTACGTAGCTTGAGAATAAACCCTTGTAATCAGCAAGGCCTTCGCTACAGTGCAGCTCTTCTCCAATGTCTCCAAAGTATTCTCCAAATGGCCAGCCGGTGGGCTGGGGCTGGATTGGAGCCTTTACTGGTTTCTGTAACTGGATTCTCTGGGGATGATGGTCAGGCCTGGTTTTACAGCTCTTGTTCCACATTAAAAAGTTTCTAGAGCACTCTCTTCCGTAGCTGCTGTGGCAGGACACACAGAGCCTGTGTGTTCTCAGTGCTGAGTCCTGGGCCCTGCAGCTGGTGTTCTTTGACCAACTGGTGGAAAGTTTTCATCTCTTACATTTTGTCCTTGGACTTCAACTTAATCAAGATGCTGGAAAATTCTTGTATCTGCTGATGGCCCGAGGTATTTCTGGCTGCGGAATTTACCATTGAGTATAGTCAGCTGAGTCCGAATGATTTCATTTTAGAGAACACGATGCTTATCTTAGGTTTCTTGACCTTACCTCCTTCACTGCTCTTATGGGAGTGCAGTCATTTGACACCATTGCTGATGGAAGAATTGGGAATAAAAAAGTAGATCCTTGGAAGTAGAGACTGCTGTTAGAAATACGCTAAGGGACGGTCACTTTCTCACAGACTTGGTTTCTCACTAAGAGATCACTTGGCAGATGACATTTGGAAGGATGGATTGACTAGCCAGGCATATTTCAGGCGAGGGCAGTGAAATCCTTGTGTTTAGTTCTACAGCAAAGGAAAACAGCTAATAGTTGTATAGGGTTGACAGTATATGTGTTGGGGAATGGTCAGGCTATACTTCTGCTGAGAAGAAATTCAAAAAGCAGTGGACTTTTCCCATGAGCTGTGCAATAGGTCAAGTGAGACATACACATACTAATTAAATGGACACTCTTAGGAAAATATGAAGTACCATGGGAGGCAAAATATTTTCTAGAGTGAGAGGAGTTACTGTCACATAACAAAAGCCCACCAGAGCCATGTCTAGTAAAGGCCACAGTTTTCTTATATTTTTTACTTTACCTCTTTGGGGATGAAAGAAAATTGTACTGGATTTTTATTTTTTCCATTGTCTTCCTGAAATTCTCAATGTGATGAACTTTGAAGTATGTCCTTGATTTCTCCCTAGAGTACTTTAAGATCTTACTGTTCATGTAAGGATTTACTAATAATTATGTTATTTAAAAACAAAGTTTCAAGAATGAGCTTAAAGTTGAACCAGTAACAGAGCTTCCACTTGGAGGTAACAGCCTCGTAGATTTTTTACAGTTATAATGCTACTGATACTTAGTTTCTTTTGTTTTCCCTAGAGGTTTTGCTACTTATTGATGAGCGCTTCAACTTACATGTTCATGATGATGTGGGAGTACAGCCACTACCTCTTGTTTCTTCAAGCAATATCTCTGTTCTTGCTAGATAGCTTTTCACTGGAGCAAAGTGACAAGGTATCACTGCATTTTGAAATTGTGATTCTAAATCTAGAGAATAAATGTTTTCATAGTGTTGTCTCTTAAAACCATTTAGCTATTAAACATTATTTAAAAAATTTTTTTAAAAATATATTTTATTGATTTCAGAGAGGAAGGGAGAGGGAGAGAGAGACAGAAACGCAATGATGAGTGAGAGTCATTCATTGGCTGGCTCCTGCATGCCCCCTGCTGGGGTCGAGCCCAAAACCCCAGCATGTGCCCCAACGGGAATCGGCCATGACTTCCTGGATATAGGTCAATGCTCAATCACTGAGCCACGCTGGCCGGGCTTAAAACAAAACTAGTGAAAATATGTACAATAAAGTTCATTTTATTTGTACTCACTTTATTTTTGTCCCAACAGGTTCATGAAGTTTATAAAATCTACATGTTTTCTCTCTCTCTGGGATATTTCCTGCAGTTTGAGAATTCAGCTTTATTGGTATCTCCTTTATTAAGTTTAGTAGCAGCCTTAATGCTTGTTAAGTGCCTTCAGGTAATTAGAACTGCCTTTTTATCATTCTTACAGTGATTTTTAAATTGTTAATTTTTTATATCTCACTTCTTTGTTCATTTGCTTCCCCCTCCCCCCCACAGCTAAATGTGAAGAAAGGAACTTTTGTAGCTAAAATAATGAAAGTTATTAATTTTTATTTGGTGTGTACCCTGACGGTGACATTGAATATTATAATGAAGGTAAGTAGCTATCTGAGATTCATGCAGCAGAACAAATTAAGTAATGAAATGAGGTGGACTGAACTTTAATGAGATGTGATAAGATAGCAAGATAGTAGCAAAGCTGTGAGTTGAGTAATGATGGTTCCGAGCATATTAAGTGAGAAAATAGGACCATGATTCTTTTCTAGATATACTTTAAAAGTACATCTACTTTATTTTCCATTTAATTTAAAGTGTCATTATTATGCAGTTAACATTAAGTAATGCCTGGAATAAACTGAGACGAGTGAGATGTTTGAAGAGTGGGTGAGCTGCCCAGGCTGGGTGGGGTGAGGTTAAACCACCGGTATAGTTCTGTGCCCAAGTAGAAGGTAATGTGACGGGCTGATGCTGACGGGTCTCCTTGCCCCACAGTCACTCCATGTGTTACTTCATTCGTGTTCTTGTTGTGCAGCTTGGCTGTGTGTAGTAGTGGACACTAGCCTGTTACTGTAAGTATAGCTTGTCGTTCTTTGTTGTAACTAGTGTTTTCCCCTCCAGACGTTTGTCCCACACAAAGAAAATGGGCACATGCTGAAATTCCTTGAAGTGAAATTTGGACTAAACATGACTAAGTAAGTTTTAGATCATTTAAGTTTATCTAACTCTGTACCACTTAGAAGATAAAGAACAAAAACGACCAAGGAGGAAGTGTACACCTAATTAAACACCACTTAGAAAGAAACACTTGGGGATACTGTATCTAGAAGACATTGTTTTCTTTCATTAAAAAAAATTTCTCACTTAGGTCCTTTTGAAATTAGATATTCTTAAACCTCAGTAGCACCAAAGGGTTTTGAGGGTTACTTTCTCCCATGATCAGGAGCAGTGACACCATCTAAGGTCAGAATAAACAAAAGATTTAAAATGAGTAAAGAACCACGGTACTTTTAACCATATTATGTCGGCAAAATGCTTACATAATAAGGCTCTGGTACAAAAGGGGTTAGGCAGCAGGTACTTCCTTCATCGTGAAGACTCATCCTGGGCTATAGTTGTGGATTGGAGGAGAAGCGGACTTTTTACAGGACCTCCGCGCTGCCTGCTGCTCTGAGAAGACAGCTAGGAAGCCGACCTTTTCAAAATTCAAGACTAGTTTTTGCCTTTTTTGTTTGCTTAAATGCATTTTTAAAACCTAAAATGAAATATATGATTTTTATGTACTGACAGTCTATTTGCATAACAGGAAATATATTTTTACCTGCGCATTTCCCTAGTTCATATAATATACCTTACAACCTTATTATCATTTGCTGTGATTACATGGGATCTTAGACACTGTGCATGTAATTTCATGTTGTGATATATCACAGTTAACAAAGTGTTTGACATGGTTTAAACACTGGAGAAATCTTCTGACGTGTATTTAAGATCAAATGATCCTTCAGAAGGCCACGTGCTCTATAAGCATAGGGGCCATGTCTTCCAGGGGTTTATGTTGGCCTGACACATAGCACACAGTAAAAATTGGTTGTAGACCTTCATAATTTTCTGCCCTTTTCACTGACTTTCCCTTTAACTTTGGAAGACTGTAGACTGAGCCTAGGATGAAGGGCTGCTTTTGTTTTTGTTTCGTAGTTGATGTTACGTAGTGCACCTTTATTCAGCTCATCAGGTTCTAGATTTATTTCACAAGGTAATGTACTGTGTGTTTTAAGAATAAGACATGGTCCCTGTCCTTAGTATTGCCATCTCATTAGTTCGTTTTTGTACAAGTAATGACATGGATGTTATAAACAGTAACTGCCTTATGCTCAGGCGTGCCAGCTGGATATTAGGATTTGGAGTGCACCAGAATTTCAGGAAACATTTCTGTTGAGACACACTTGCAGGAACCACTAAGGAAATGTTAATAGATATTTGTTGGATGTTCAGGATACTAGGCCAGGTACTCTGGGGGTTACAAAAATGGCTACAACCTAACATATGGCTGATTGCATTAAGGACTATGACTGAGGGATGAGTGAAGTGCTGTGGGAATATTGAGAAGGAAATATTGAGAAGGAAAGTTAACATAGTGGATAGTGCAGGTGTAGAGGTTGGACAGCTAAATTTTTTATTGCCTTCCAGATTAAAATAGAAAGTGAAACTCCCTTAAAACTATTGGGCTCTAGAGATGGTAGCATTACAGAAAGCAGCAGTTTTACATTTATTAGAGCAGTTTGTTGAGAGCTTACAAATGCTGTTATCTTCATTTGTAAAGCATAGGATCTGGCTGTTATAAGTGAATGGATTTAAGAAATGTGTTTTGTTTTATCTAAGTTTCTATTGAGATTTAAAAAAAACTATACTTTTATGGTCAGTAGTTTAAAACACCTGTTATTTTAATATGCTTTTGTCTTCTATAGGAATTTTACGATGAATTGGCTCCTCTGTCAAGAATCCCTACAGGCACCATCTCAAGAATTTTTTTTGCGATTGACCCAGTCTTCTTTATTACCTTTCTATATTTTAGTGTTAACTATTTGTTTTCTTTCTATGATGCAAGTTATTTTTAGGAGAATTAAGTAAGTGCTTATGAGAATTAATCACATTACTAATATACTATGGAAATACAGTATGTAAAATGCTTACTTTGAATATTCTTCCAATATTTGTGTATTTGTTTTAGAGCTGCTAATTTCATTCTCTCACCATCAGTGTGCAAAAGATAATTATAAGTTAACCAGATTAAATTTAAATTTAAGTTTAAATATTTAAACATGTAATATCCAGATTTAGTGTAGGAATAATATTTAAATCAGTTAAACTTTCACAAACTTGCTAATTTACTCAGATTTTTACTTACCATGAGAATAATTTTTTCTGTTTAACCTCAGTGAAGCTAGTAGTATAAGTGACTTTAAATTATAAAGTTTGACTATTTAAAAATGTTTATCATGTTTGAAAGGAGGTTGTTGTAGTATCATGATTTTGAGAACCTAGTTGTTTAAATTACAATTTAACTATATTGATTTAGCAATCACAATTGAGTGATAATTGATCATGGAAAGGATCCTAAAACATTTTTTAAATTATATTTCTGAACTTTCATTTTTACTCTTCACTGAGTCAGTTATATTCAGATTTTAAAAGCCATTTTCAAAGTCTTGGAGATAGAAAAGTTAGTATTTGACTAGCAGAATATACTTTCAAATTCTCAGAACTACCTATGTTTCTTTTTATGAGGAAACTTAAGATCTTTGATTTTTCAAATATTTATATTAGTAAACCACACATTTCATTTCTGTAGTGGTGAGTCCCTGAAAGAAACTGTTACTCTTGAAGATGGACGAATTGGAGAAAGGCCGGAAATAACTTACCACGTGATTCACACTATTTTACTGGGTTCTCTTGCAATGATTATAGAAGGGTAAGTGTACTTTATTTGACCTATTTTTAAAAAAAATATTTTTATTGATTTTTTTAGAGAGGTAGAGGAAGAGAGAGAAGAAACATCAGTCGATGTTAGAGCGAGACATCCATCGGCTGCCTTCTGCACGCCCCCTACTGGGGATGGAGCTGGAAACCCGGGCATGTGCCCTGACTGAGAATCCAGCCCTGACCTCCTGGTTCCTGGCCAACGCTCAACCACTGAGCCACGTACGGGCTGGACCCGCATGTCTTCTTGATTATTTAAGAAATGAAAACTTATCTGCTGCTGAAAGTTGGCAGCTGAGTTTTTCCACCCTTCCTTAACATTGTCCTACTCTCATGGGTAGTAGGAAGGAGCTCAGACAAGAGAAGTCAGGCACTGACGGTCATAGGGTAGCTCGTACGGTCATAGGGTAGCTCGTACGTGACTCCGTTTGTCGTTTCCAGCTTGAAATACCTCTGGACTCCTTATATGTGCATGTTAGCCGCATTCGGTGTGTGTTCTCCTGAACTCTGGACGACACTTTTCAAGTGGCTTCGATTACGAACTGTACACCCAGTACTGTTGGTGAGTCAAGGTTAAGTACTTGTTTCTCTTCTAGTTATGCAAATGGAAACCACATTGAATAGCACTAAGTAGTGTAAGTCACATTGTAACCCACAGGTAGAAAAAGAGATCCCGTGGAAAACATTTTTAAATAATTTCTGATTATAAAAGAACTGCACTTTACTGCGGCATAAAAGGTAAAGACAGTGAATTAATAATGTGAGAGGCTATGAAGAATTAATTTTTATGTCTCTCTTGGTTTGATTTAGAACTCTGGTATGTTTTCTGTGCGAGTGGAACATTTGCACTGTGCTTGTTGGGTGCAGTGTGCTTGGAATACAAAGATAGATAAAGCACAATTAATTTCCTCATGTAGCTAGCAGTCTCCTGGTCATAAAAACATAATAAAAAGTGTTGACAGTGCTGTCGGAACACAGAGAAGGGATCCTTGATTCAGCTCTTAGGACTTTCCATTGTGACATTTGAAAGATGGGTCAGTTGTTAGTCAAATGAAAGGAAAAGAAAGGGTTGAAGGAATAAACACAGGTAGCGGAGAATGAGGTTACCCAAGGGTGTAAAAGCAGGCGAAGAGAAAGCACGGCGCATTCGGTTTTGTTGGCACATAAATTGTGAGGTAGGGTTGGTCAGGAAATGACACTAGAGAAGTTGAGGATAAGGTTGGGGAGGCGTTAAGTGTCACACTGGTGCTCAGTCTTATCCTGTAGGCGTAGGAGGGTGTCGAGATGCTCAGGCAGGGGTGAGAGAGTCAGACCTGCAGTTTCTCTCGGTCACCCTTACAGTTCTGTGAATGGTAGGCTTCAGGGTGACAGACTGGAGCCAAGAAGGGTGCTGTCACTCAGGCGCAGGCGATGGTGGATGAAAGTCACAAAAGCTTTAATTCATTGAGTGCTTACTCTGTGTCAGGTACTTTTCAAAGCATTTCACATGCTGTTCAACCCTTTCAAACACCCTACTGGCCCAGTTTTATCTTCAGTGTTTTATAGACAAAGAAACCAAAGCTTAAACTCCTTAAATAATTTCCCTGAGATCACAAAGCTTGTAAGTCTGGAAATCATGATTCATGCCCAGGTTTTTATGACTGCAAAGCCCGAAACTGATACTGTGCTGTAGTGGAGTGAAAAAAATAGAGGATTAATAAGACTTGGTGCTTGATTAAGTGTGGGAGGGGAGGCGGAGGGAGGGATCATAATGTTTCCTGTGTTTCTGGTTTACGTGACTGTGGGTCATGGCGTCACCAGTGGACATGGGACAGTAAGGAGAAAGGTTTTGAAGGAAGATGATGAATCTGTTATATTAGTTGTGCTGTATTTTGCCAGTCTTTTTCCTGCGGAGTTTATATATTCTTATTTTAGCACACAAGTATATTGATATATATTAGCTATTTTTGTGTGTTATTTCAGTCTTTTTGTTGTTAGTGTTTTAGGTAGCAGTTAATAAACTTTGTGTTCTCTTCATAACTTAAGTTCCTATCAAAATTGTCAAATATTGATTTGTTATTTGAAAGACTGCGTGTGTTACCATTTTTTATGTTCTGCCTTAAATTTATATAGTAAATATATATGTTTCACTTTACCCCCAGTTTAATATGTCTTAAACTTACCATTAGTCTTCTACCATCTCACTTCATGAACTAGGTTTCGTGCCAACTTAAGTATGTCTGCTTGAAATTTGTATGACTGTGTTGATAGGCGCTTGGTCATAGGATCGGTGTCCAGTGCTTTAAAGCACATGCTGAACTGTGTTTATTCATGACCCTTTTGCTTTCCTACTTTAGGCTCTTATTCTGAGCATGGCTGTGCCAACTATAATCGGTGTCAGCTTATGGAAAGAGGTAAGAAAATCAGATTTTTGTATTAAAATGTACTTTATTTATAACGTAGATATATATGCGTGGGATACTTATATTGAAATGCTGTTCTAACAAAGTAAAATTTGGTATTCTTAGTAATGCTTCCTTTTTTTATCATTAGGAACATGATAGTAAAGCTAAAACATTTTTAGAATGCCATCTGGTGCAATTTTCTGTTGTTTGATACTGTCATTAATTCAATTTATAATTGGCAAAGGAAATTGCTGAATAAACCACTTGTAATATTAAAAAGTATTTTTGCAACTCCAAAATATAAATATCTATGAACTAATATAAGTTCTTTGGCTTGTAATATGTCATGAAACTAATTACCAATAAACGTGAATTATTTCACCCAAAATTAATTAATTAAATTATTTATTATATATGTGCCCAAAAAATACAACTGATGATTGTTTGGTAATTATAAAATTATTTATTGAGATAGGCAGTAAATTAACCATAAAATAGTTGCTCTGGGTTGAGAAGACTGAGTAGATCACTGAAAGAAAGTAGAGAGGGCAATGGTGTGTTTTCAGTAAGAACAGTGTTGTAAAATTGTTTGTAAAAAAGTCTCTTAGTCTTTTCAAAGACTCTGGAACAGTTTTAAACTTTCTAGATACTTATACTTTGGATGGGTTTTGTTTTTGCATTTTAGTTTTTTCCAAGATTAATGACAGAATTAACTGAACTGCAAGAATTCTATGACCCAGATACAGTGGAACTTATGACCTGGATAAAGTAAGACCTGCCCTGCCCTGCCCGATACTGTTGTGGACCTGTTAGTTAATCACTGCATGCTATCTAACGGATTCATGGGAAATAGTAAATTAATGTTTTTTCAAAAAAATTTATATGTCTTCAGCACTCAGAATCATTCCTGGTAGACAGTAGGTGCTAAGTTCTTTTTTTAATGAATCCATAAATAAAATGAAGTGAAAGCTGACATTGAAACTGAAGTATATAATACATTGTAAGTTGCCTGGTATTTCAGAGTTGATATAAATGAGTGATCTAAGTAGTCTATTTACCTTTCCAGTGTCTAAATTTCTGTGGTTCTTTGCAGAAGGCAAGCTCCAGTTGCAGCTGTGTTTGCAGGGAGTCCGCAGTTAATGGGCGCAATTAAATTATGCACTGGATGGATGGTGACAAGCTTGCCTCTTTACGATGATGACCTTCTCAAGAGAAATGAAAATGTAAGGCACTTTAGATTCTACATTTGGATCTTTTCTAACATCACTCTTTATTTTAGTCTAGTTTTGATGCTTATGTTCCTGATTAGCTGGGAAAATCCAAACAATTTTAAAAGGATTGGTTAGCTTCAGTTTTTAAAAAGTTGCATAATACACTTAACCAAGAAGAGAGCCAAAAAAATAAAAATATTAAAGGTTTTATGAATAGTATAGGTATGTTTGTTAGAGAAACATTTAATTTTCCAAGACGTTTCAAGGGAACTGATGTATAATATTTTGCAAAGAGAAACATAATTTTGAAAATATCATTGTTCTCAAACAAATTAATGTCAATTAATGTCTTGATATACTTTGTATTTCCAAGCTAAAAGTATAGTACACTATGATTTATTTTTCAGTATGGGCTATTATACTTAGTATAACATTAGAATGGTATCTAGTTACTTCATGTTCTGAGACTATATTATTTTGAATGCTTGGATTTAAATGATAACTTTGTATCTGGAGTCAATGACTAACTAACCCTGAAATCCAAATATTCTGGTTTTTGATTTGAGATAACTTTATATAATTGGATTTTTTAAAGTGTACTCTAAGCTAAGGAGGAAATATAGCAGCATAGAAGTTAGACTATCATATGAGGTTAGACTCTAAGAATACAGACTCTAGAATTAGGGTATCTGAAGAATGCATCTCTAGAATATCTCTAGAATTAGAGTATCTGAATGCATCTCTAGGGTATCTCTAGAATTAGAGTATCTGGACTGCCACATACTGGCGTTGTTACCTGGAGCAAGTTTTTTTCTTTAGGGCGGGGGGGTTTCCACAATGCCTTTTTTCCCTTAATTGAGGCATAATTGGCATATGGCATTATGTTAGTTTCAGGTGTATAACAATGATTTGATATTTGTATATATTGCAAAATGATCACTACAATAAGCCTAGTTAACACCTGTCACCATACAGAACTACAAATTTTTTTTTATTGTGATGAGCATTTATAAGATCTACTCTCTTAACAGCTTTCAAATATGTAAAACAGTGTTATTAACTGTAGTCACCATTCTGTACGTTATATCCTCATGCCTTATTTATTTTATAACTGGAATTTTACCTTAATTTTTTAAATATATCTTGATTGATTTCAGAGAGAGGAAAGGAGAGAGAGAGAGAGAAACATCAATGATGAGAGTCATTGATCGAGTCCACAAGCTGGGCATGTGCCCTGACCGGGAATCGAACCCCGATTACCTGGATCCCAGGTCAATGCTCAACTGCTGAGCCACGCTCGGCCAGGCTGGAATTTTACCTTTAGACTTCCTTCACCCAGTTGCCCACCAGCCGCCCTCTGTTCTCTATGTTTGTGTGTGCTGCTATTTGTTTGATTCCACATGTAAGTGAAATCATATGGCATATGTCTTTCCCTGTCTGACTTATTTCACAGAGCATAATGCCTCAAGGTCCATCCATGTTGTTGTAAATGGCAAGGTTTCATTTTTTTTTTGTGGCTGAATAACACTCCATTGTATGTATGTACCACCTCTTCTTTACCTGTTTATCTTTTGACATTTAGGTTGTTTCCATGTCTTGGATATTGTAAATAACGTTGTAGTGAACACAGGGTCCATGTGTTTTTTTTAATTAGTGTTTTCATTTTCTTCAGATAAATACTCAGAAGTGCAGTTGCTAGATCATATGGTAGTTCTATTTTTAATTTTTTTAAGGAATCTTTATGCTGTTTTCCATAGTGGCTGCGCCAATTTATAATCCCAACAACAGTGCATGAGGGTCCCTGTTTCTGTACATCTTCACCAACACATTATTTCTTCCGTTTTTGATGATAGCCATTCTGACAGGTGTGGGTGGTTTTGATATGTGTTTCCCTGATGATTAGTGATGTTGGACATCTTTTCATGTCTCTGTTGGCATCTGTATGTCTTTGGAAAAGTATCTATTCAGATCCCCTGCCTATTTTTTAGTCAATTTGTTTTTCGTTGATGTTGAGTTGTATGAGTTCTTTATATATTTTGAATATTAACCCCTTATCTGTTGTATGATTTGCAAATATCTTCTGTCATTCAGTAGTGTCCTTTTGTTTTGTTGATGGTTTTCTTTACTCTGCAGAAGCTTTTTAGTTTGATGCAGTCCCATTCGTTTATTTTTGCTTTTGTTTCCCTTGCCTTCAGAGTCAGATCCAAAAAAAACATTGCCAAGAATGAAGTCAAGGAGCTTAGTGAATATGTTCCACAAATAGTACGCAGTACTAAGAACATAGTAGAGAAAAGAGCATACTAGGTGCTTAATGTATAGTTTTGCTTAACAAAAGTTTAAAAGTCTTTTAAAATAACTTTTAATTATATTCTTTCAGATCTATCAAATCTATTCAAAGCGATCTGCTGAGGATATTTATAAAATACTGACATCATATAAAGCTAACTACCTAATTGTTGAGGATGCTATCTGCAATGAAGTGGGAACCATGAGAGGCTGTAGGGTTAAAGATTTGTTAGACATTGCAAATGGCCATGTAAGTAACCATTTGGAAAATGAAATCTTTTTTGAGAAAAACGACTTTGTTTAAACTTATAATCTTCAAACCCTACTTTTGGAACTTAACAAGTTATATAACAATGGGCAGAACTTACTAAAAGCAGTTTGAATTATTTTGTCATTATAAAAATATTGAATATTAAAAAGTTGTATATTCTGGGGAAAATTTTTTTTACCTCTGTGGATTTCTTATGTATTGCCTATACTGATGATGTTCAACATGTATAAGCAAAAGATGGCCAGGGGTGTAAAGTACAGCATAGGGAATATAGCCAGAAATATTGCGATAACTATGTACAGTGCCAGGTAGGTACTGGTGGAAATATCAGGGGGAGCACTTTGTAAAGTATATGATTGTCTAACCACTATGCTGTACACCTGAAACCAATACATAAGAATACTAAAAAAATGAGCATTAAAAAATAAAAAGATCGCCCGGCCAGGCATGGCTCAGCGGCTGAGCATCGACCTGGGATCCAGGAGATCGGGGTTTGATTCCCAGTCAGGGCACATGCCTGGGTTGCAGGCTAGGCAGCCAATCAGTGACTTTCTCATCATTGATGTTTCTCTCTCTCTCTCTCCCCCTCCTTTCCTCTCTCTGAAATCAATAACGATATGTTTAAAAAAATAAATAAAATAGGTAAATTTGATTTAAATGATGATTTTATTTTAACTCATAATAATCTATATGAACAACTGTAAACCTACTTTTGCCCCACCCTGTATATTTATTTCTCAGCCATGATTAAGTTCTTCAGAGGAATGATCATGGAATATGGAGACATAGGCTTCTAAGTTTTAGTATTAAATCTTCTAAAAATTGGAAACACTTTATACTGGTTTCTCACTCTCAGTGGGAAGCTCAAAAGTTTAGTGTACATGGTGCCTCTCTTACGAGGAGACTTCTCTTAGCTAAACAACGTGTGATGTTTGCTGAACAATGTGAGATAGTCTTTGTTTAGCATAATATGTTTCCACATAAATGTAGTCATTTGTACATTGATTTTATTTCTCCTATAAGCTTAATAAGCCTTTTAATAACTATGTTTCATGTCTCTTGATAGGTGGTTTGTGAAGAGGGTGACAAGTTAACCTACTCAAAATATGGGCGATTTTGTCACGAGGTCAAAATTAACTATTCTCCGTATGTGAATTATTTCACTAGAGTATATTGGAACAGATCCTACTTTGTATATAAAATCAATACTGTGATATCCTTTCAGTCTTGAAAATAGCAGAGCCTTCATTTCAAAGACTTAAAGCATCAGAAGTAAATTGTTGATTTTCTTCTACCAATGAGGCGTCGTTTTGGAAATCAGAGCACGGACATTTGACGTGTTGCTGCTGCTTCCCCACCCGCCAGCATTAACTGGACCAGAATTCTGTGGGGTGGAGACAATGAAACATTACTGGCCTTGGTAAATGTTAGATCTCACCACTCTGCAATGCTCCGGCCAGGTCTTCTTACTGTTACAAGGCCTCTAAAATGTCACTCTCTAAACTATTATAAAAATTTCCTCATAAATCTTCACTTTATCATAATATGGATTTTGAATTTGAGTATGTTCAAGGTCTGCATATATTTCTCAAACATAACATTTAATATATACTTAATATATAATTATAGAACAGAAGAACTGTTCTTACCCTCAAGGCAGTTTCTAAAGGTGTTTTACGGTTTATAATAGAATTGAAATATTAGAGTGAAAAGCTAATTGAAATGGTAGCTGAAAATATGTGGCATTTAAATTAAAATGGAAATGATATAAAGGAAAGTGATTTTTAAGGATATATATAAAGATATATCCAGATTTTCCAGGATACTGTTCTCACCATCTGCTGCTTATATAAGAGAGCACTTTCTTAGTAATATACACAGTGTATGGCGTTGCATTTTATTATTTTATGACTTAAAATTAGGTGGTTAGCTGTTGTCACTTATGCTCATAAATTTGATATGAATTTAATCTTGATAAAACAGTAACTCTTGTTACCTATATATTTTTTAAAACAGGCATTTATAAGAATGTTGTTCAGGTTTTTAAAAAATATGGATATGGGGTATATAATCTATTTACATGTTTTCTAAAAAACTAGTAAAAAATCTTTATCAGAATAGAAATATGTGCACTAAAATGAGCACCAATTTCTGGAGATATGTGCAGATGCTGTTACACTTACCTCTGCATACAGATATATTTATTATAAAACAAAAGTGCTATTATTTATGAAACTGTGATGCAGTCTTCAACATTAAGAACAGCCCTGGCTGGTGTGGCTCAGTGGTTAGAGTGTCAGCCTGAGGACTGAAGGGTCCCGGGTTTGATTCCAGCCAAGGGCATGTACCTCGGTCCCAGGCTCCATCCCCGGCCCTGGTCAGGGTGCGTGTGGGAGGCAGCCAGTTGACATGTCTCTCACATCCATGTTTCTCTCTCTCCCCCCTTCCGTCTCCCTCTTCCACTCTCTCCAAAAAGCAATGGAAAAACATATCCTCAGGTGAGGATTAAAAAATAAAGAACAAAATGACAATTACAAAATTTACAGCAGTTTCACAGTCTAAATATCCGTTCCTTTACATTAAATATTTTCATATTTTTAATCATTTATTTAAAAAATCTAAAATGATTTATTTGGCTAAGATGGCATGTATGTTTAGTTTTATCTTATGTATCTGCTTAGTGAACAGGTTTTTAAAGTGCTGTAAAAATTGCATTTTGATTATGTTAGAAGGGAGCATCTTTCCACTATATTTTTGTAATATATGTTAAAAGTACAAAAGCACATTCATTCTTAGACTAGCTCTAGGATGCTTTGCTGTTTTGGAGCTTAAGAATTGTTTGATGGCTGTGTCATGTATCTGGTGCATTAGTTTTATTGGTTCTCATTTCATGCTTTTATGTAATTTTTAACAATTATATTAAGATCGCTGTAGGCAAGGTATTTCAGGTTTTATGTACATCTTAGTAGTGAATCACTAATATTTAGCTTCAAGCCTTATGAAAATATTACTCTAGTTAATCTAAGTACATAGAGCATATAAAACATCGTGATTTAAAAGTCAGCTTGCATATTTAGAAAGGGAAATAGAACAGCCTATTTTCTATGTAGCATGAAATATTTAATTGAATTTTTATTGATTTACATTATGATCAACTAAGCTGAATTAGTTTGTTGTGTGTTTTTTGTTTTTGTTTTTGACATGGTAAATTGCTTTTGCATCAGTCAACTTATTTCTTAAATAAAATAGATCTGGAGAAACTTTTAATTGAATTTTCTAAATAATGAATTTTTCATTCAGCATCAGTTGTAAAGGAAAATGTGAGCTTTAATATAGAATAAATAATACTGGATATGAGAGATAAGCTCATTTGTTTCTATTTTAACTGTAATTAAAACAGTAGTACTGGAAAACTTTGAGGAGCATTGAATTAATTTTCTTACTTATCTGTAGAGTAACAGATGATTAAGAATTCTGCAAGTTAACTCTGTTTGGGTAACTTACAGTTGTTAGGTTGGACGATAAAGATCTGTGTAAGGAGCAAAGTTTGTGGTTTTTGTGTGGAAAGAATTTCTTCAAGAAATACAAAACATACTTTGCCCTTATCATAAAACCATTTTGAAATAAGTGCCTTAACTTTATTTCAAAGTTTACTTTTTATTTTCCAAAAAATATTATCCGTTTCTTTCTTTTCCGTAAGAAAAATTTGGTAACTTTTTCCTCATTGTTAAGCACAACCTCACTATTCTATTTTCAGTAATAAATAAGCAAATCTTTGTTAAGGGCAGAGATGGGATTTCTAGCTTGCTAAATTAATTTAGGTCCCAAATGCCAAACAATCTAACAAATAAAACTTACTTGATAAGCTATGTGATATTGACTCTCTGCTGTTTTATATTTTTCCTACCTTTTGCATCTGTATCTTGGTGCATTTTGTGAGACTGGTAGGTTTTACAACCTAGGGAGAATGCATTGTACTTCAGAAACGTTTTATTACTTGTGTATGTAGACAGCATGTTTTCTCAGGATAGTGACCCAAATGGCCAGTGGCCTCTGTGTTGTGGCACGCTTCCACCCAGTCCAGACTCTCAAGGAAAAGCAGAATGGAGGTCAAAGTGTGTTGTAAGTTAGGGCTCAAAATATCCTCTAAAAAAATTATGAATTTCTTGCAGGGCACAGTGAATAGCTAACGGTTTGTTTTTGAAAAATTGTTCTTTGGCCCTTTCTATTTCGATCCATTAAAACATTTTGATGCCTTTTGTGGGTAAAACTAGTGCCTCTTTATGAAATTGGTGGGGTTTCTAAAAATTGTATGTCAGTTGATTTTTTGTTTTGGTAAGTTTAATTTATATGCATGAATATTTAAAGGGACATATATTATGAATTCTGTATATTTAAACCTGTAAAGCAAATAACTACTTCCTGATTTACATTTCAGTATATTCTCTATTTGTCCAGTTTTTTAAATAAATGGTTTTTGCTATTTGCCAATAATTTTAGATTCCAGTATGTGTTAAAATTACAGCTCTGAAAAAGTTACAAGTTAAACTCAATTTCTTATTGAAGCAATAGAGCTCATTATTAAGTTTTTGAATGTGTAGAGTTAACAGTTTAAATAAAATTAGATGTGCAAATTGCAAAGGAATATATTTGCAATGTTTTGTCCATTAAGGTTTCTAAACAAACTTGTTTTTCATAATAAAAAAGAACATTTTAGAACAAGATTTGCTGGAATTAGCATAAAGACGTGTTTGAATCATTTCTGTTTATAAGTTTCTTAGAATTCACTCATTTAAGGTGTCCAGTTCAACAGTTTTTAGTATATTCAAAGTCGTGCAGTTATCACTGCGATCAATTTTAGAACATGTTTATCACCCTACATGCCTTCTGGCCTCCTCGCTCAGCTACTCCATACCTGAGCAGCTTGTATTTTAATCTCGGCACGTATAATCCTACGTGCAGTTCTATGAGAGAGACACTGAACATTGACTGTTGTATTTAGTGGAATAATATCAGAAACATGCATTACAGACTTATAGTTTGAAATACTTCCTAAATAATCCTTTCATATTTTATGTTAATAGCTTTGTACAGCTGTTTAACAAAGATGAATACGACTAATTTTATGTATGTTGATTTCTGAATTATACCTGTGACAATGACTATTTAGATTAAATGTGTTCCTCTTGTAACTAAGGTTATGTCTTTGCAAAAGAATAAAAGTTGATTTCAGTAAATATAAATCTTTTGAAGGAGTTGGGGTACCTCGTTTACTTCACGTTTATACTGTCTGCCTATTATCAAGAATGAAATCATTTCATGCTTAAACTCCTTGTGTTTCCATAATAAAATTCCTCAAAACTTTTTAGTTATTTTTATATAAACCTTTTTTGTTACATCTTCATTACATCTTTATTGAGATATGACTTGCATATCATACAATTCACTCGTTGAAGGTGTCCAGTTCAGCAGCTCTTAGTGTATTCAAAGTCGCGCGGTTACCACTGCGACCCGTTTCAGAGCGTGTAGTCCTCACCCGCGGCGGCGGCCACGCCCTCCCCGGCGGCGCGCGGACCGCTTCGCCTCCAGCTGCGGGCTCTGGAGGGCGCCGGGCTGCTGGCGCGCGAGTCCGAGATGACCTCGGTGGGGGGGGACCTCGGACACTGAAAGCACCTGCGACAAACTGCCTGGTCCACAATTTTTTATTTAGTAAAGTTTTACTTTTCAAGATGCACAGCTGGCGGGACCCGTTGTCCACGCACCTTCAGCAACCGGGGCGTCCCCGCCTCGGGCGTTTCCGGTGCTTTGACACTAGTTTCAGGTCCTGACCGAGGCGCGGCCCGAGCCCGAGCCGGGCGCTTCCTTACCGAGCGGTCAGACAAGTCTAGCTCTGGAGTCCGCCCGGGACCGGCCTCCGGACCCCTTCTTGGCTTTGCCCCAGGATTGCCCACTGGGCCTTGGTCTTTCTCGAAAGGCCGACTGAGCAGCATCTTTCTCGCAGCCCTTGGGCAGCTTAGCGAAGCACGAGGAGCAGCTGCTGCCACTGCAGCCTCGGTCGCAGGCCTCGGCTCGCGTCGGGACCGTCCTGTGCGGAGTTTCACGAAGACGCTGGGGCTCCCGGCAGCCCGGGGCTGGTTTCTTCCACCAGCGAGAAGCTCGGGGAGAAACGCGAAAGCCCGCAGGGACCCAGCCTGCCGGGTCGTCTCCCATGGCAACGGAGGGGCGTGGCCTGCGGACGGGTCCCGCCTCCTTCCTTCCACCTCGAGCCACGATTGGCTGGGGGC